TTTCAGCAGTTGCAGAGCTGCCTCGTGCTGTAGGTGAGCCGTCTCCAAAAGAGAAGGAGGAGGGGGATTTTGAGGAGATACAGTGACTTTTCCAATTACCATCAGTTCTTTCACTTTAACCGGCCAGCAGTTCTACCCTTACATACACATTGAGAAATTCTGAGCTGCCACCAGGTGAAGAAGTTAAAGAGATGGTCCTGTCAGCTTAAAATCACAGGTTCAGGCTCCATGACGGCTACATGTCACAGAGACACTGAACCTCAGCCAGTAAATGTGGCTGGTAAATGGATATGGGGGGGGCGGCTGTGGCTCAGGACGTAGAGTCCACTAATTAGAAGGTCGGTGGTTCAATCCCCGGCTCCTCCAGGCCCCGTGTCAAAGTATCCTTTGGCGAGATACTGAACCCCACATTGCCCTTGATGGCTGCTCCAGCAGTATTGTACAGCGCTTTGAGCGTTCAGCAAGACTAGAAAAGCAGTATATAAGTGCAAGTCCATTTACCATTTATCATATGTAACATATCAATCATTCAGCATATATCAAATATATGTATTTTTTTCAATCCAATAGCTAACAAAAGGAAAATAGAAACACAATTATCAGGAAACATGTCACAACTACACAGAAATTTAGGACATCTAAGTTATTGTTGTGTGTCGTGAAAGTGACTGGTAAAAAAAATTAGCCAGAGCGGCTGGTGATGGTTTCCCGCTCTGGTCAATACAGTGAGAAAAGTGGAGGCATTGCAAAAGAAATGGTGCAGTACTGAGAGAAAATCATTATAATTCACTCTCATTTTCCCGTCTGAGTAAGCATACAATCAAGTAAGGATTTGGCTACTGCTTGGAGGTAGTGCTTTTATCATGACAGGCATACCGAAGAACAGCTTTACAGCTAAAACACCGAAAGTGGAACCAAAACTGGGACAGCTGTGCAACCAAAATCAAAATTACTCCCCAACTGCTGCCATAAAAAACAGCAAGGACACACACACACACACACACACACACACACACACACACACACACATGCACATACACTCACACAGAAAAAAAAAAAATTATAGGGAGAATCATTTAGGGTTGTCTTTAGGCAGGAGGGAATATGTTTCTGGATTTTTGTGCTTAACCAAGCAACGGCTGGTTAGCATTGTCAGCAAACTAAATGTCAGCAGCTAGCCACACACTCACTGATATGTCATGAGTGTGTATGTGTGAGAACGTCTCACCTCTTTTGTGAAAGCGAGAGTTCGGTTGACTGAAAAAAGTTTTTATTCCAAACTGAAGTGAAAAGCAAAACCTGTTGGGAAATCTTATTATTTTCACAGGTGTTTCTCCTGCTGCGACATGTCAAAATGTCTTCTGTGATATTTGGGACAAGGCCTATTGCACTTGACAATACTTGACTGTTGCTCTATGAAATCTGCTGGGAGCAAGCAGTACAGTGTGCAAATTGTTTTTTTTTTTTTTTTTTTTTTTTTTTTTTTTTTCTTCACCCAGATTGGAATTGCTACCCTTTCCCTGTTATTGCTAACTCCTGTTGTTGGTGTAGCTGTTGAGTGTGACATCACTAGGTGCATGTTTATATGCCAGATGCCAGTAAACCTGTAAAGGTGCTAGGTGAGAAGCTTTCCTTGGAATGACTTGGCATGGAACAACCCAATCACCTGACCAGCTAGTTACTCTGTAGTGCACTCAGTCAGCGACTCCACTCCGGCTCTATTTTAATGGACTTTGTTATCCAAGCTGGAAGCAGTGGAAGAGGAGAAGAGAGACAAATTTTTACCTTTTTGGAGCTACCGTGAGACGAGTGTTGCAAAGATTGCCAATAGATCCTCTCTCATCTCACAAACTAAAACATTAATTTTTATTGCATCTTGGAAGCATTAAAATGCCTCCCAGCTCATGATGAATGCTTTTCAGAAGCCTGATTTAAAACAGCGTAGGAGTTTTTACATCTGATGCAACAACTCAAAGCCATCGCATTGATGGATGGAGCCCCGTTCAGTCGAACTAATCATGAGAAATAACCGTCTACAGCTGTAGCCACAGGTATAACTACAAAGTACCAAGTGGGAGACACCTGAGTAAATATTTCTGACTAAAATTTTTATGCTCAGTCAGTTGACTGATCGGTTGAATCACAAACAAAAGTATCCAAAAATTGAAGCTCGGATGTGTTCATCATCCAGCACATTTTCTGTCACAAAATTGTTGTAAATGCTTCAGACAACTTCTAACAGACTCATTCAGAAAGCTGGTGTAAAGAATTTTCTGTCACATTTTTTTCTGTGTTCACATTTTCCTTTGGGTGGTCAGGAAAAAAAATGGCTGGACTGCTTTTTTTTTTTTAAAAAAAGAAAAAAAAAGAGAAAACTTTGGTGCCCTGAGTGTGGTTTAAGTGGGTCGCCTGAGAGTTTAATAGGCGAGGGGAAAACCTGAGATGGATCCAAGCGTGCAGACTTGAAGTCAGACAGACGTAGCTGGAGGAAGTCAATGATGTACTTAACCAATCTCCTCAAAGGCAGGACGACGAGGTAGAGCTCGACAGATGGGAAGAGGTGGAGGGATGGAGAGAGAGAGAAGCGAGCAAGGCTGAGGAAGTCAATAATGTACTTAACCTTACTCAACGCACTCCCTCTGTCCCTGTTATTGTAAGGCAGGGAAGACTGGAAGGGGGAGGAAAAGAGATGAGAGGGAGAGGGTATGATGGCAGGACTTGGGAATGGAAATAGTCGGAGGCAGCGAAGAAGCGCTGTGTTTTTCTGTCAGCATAAATGTCAGAGTAGTTAAGTGTGTGCAGGGCAGGCGGGGAGGCCGGGGTACTGGAAGAGCCCCATATAAGAGGGAATAGCCAGGTTTTACGGCCACATAAATCTCCGTTCCCCGCACTGAAGGTTGTAACCCACCTCCTCCTCTTTTGGCTTTCCTGCCTCAGTCTAGCAGTACGCTAAAACCTCCTTTTGACTTCTTGACTCTATTTGTTGCTGCCTCCTTTGCCTCATTTCTCTCTCTTTCAGACTCTTGACCCCTGGCCTCCTTTTTTTTTTTTTTTTTTTTCTTTTTAATGGAACTCTATATATTTTCTTCTTTTGCAACTCAGGCTACAAGAGATTAAATATTTCTACAGGCTGCATTTTTTGCATCCTTGATCTGTGTTTTCTTTTCCCTTTAATCCTTGTCAGGGACACTTTAATAATAAACCTCTGAGTTCTTGCATCATATCAACAAGGTGACCATCAGGTGTTTTTCACTGCTTCTGGCTATGTATTCAGTTGTATGCTGATCAGAGTGTTCTTGTTTTCTCACCTGAAAGTGCTGATTAAACTTTAAATTCTTTTTATTTTTTTAGTGTAAACAGGGGGAAATGGTTGCTCATGATAATAAGTGAAATTAACTGTGCCTCCACCTGTCGGTCTGAATTCACCCTCTGTTACTGGATCTCTTGCCTTCTCTCCAGCTGCTCTGTCTAACTCTTTGCAAATCTGCTGTTGCCCACATTTGCTTCTGACATGTCAGATGTGAAGCTGAGTAGCGATGTAAAACATAGAGGGTGCTGTTATTTAATGCATTTTTCTAAAAACAAAAAAACTTTTTCTTGATAGCTTTTGTTTGATTTATTTCTGACCTTTTTCTCTCTGACGCACTCTGTCCTCCTTCTCTGACGTTCCTCCATTGTCTCTCTGACTGTTGCTTCGCCCTGCTCTTTGCTTGTAACATCTTTGTTTATTTAGCCTGAGCAGCTCTCTCTCTCTCTCATTCTCTCTCTCTCTCTCNATCCCCCCCCCCCCCCCCCCCCCCCCCCCCCCCCCGATTCTGGACACAAAATTGAATCAGACACACACAGTAGGCATCTATCTACTAAATAGATGTCTGTTAGCAGCCACTCCTCATGTCTGCTCTCCACCTCTCATTTCAGTTTTCCCTCTCTTCTCTCTGTCTCTGAAGTGAGACTCATGCTCCGTCGCAGAATTAGCGTTCGGCTGCCGTTGCTTGTGAATTGAAGTTAAATTGCTTTCTCTTTGCAACACGTCTGGATTGAACCTATCACACTTGTTGTCACATTTGGGAAATGGGTGTAATACAGAGTTTATTTAAGTGTAAGCTGAGCAAGTAACTATGGGTGTGTTTTCCAAGTGGCAGTCAAGTTACCGCAGAAACACACATCAGTTCAGTCAAAATAATGAGTGATTTTTTTTCTTTTTTTTTTTTTTTCCCTATAGGCAACACTCCTTAACTGCGTCTTCTGTATCTTCCTGGTGCTCCTGCTGTGTTAAATATGCTGCTCCCTGATGGAAGCTCATTCATAAAGATGCAAGATTCCATTCAGTAGATGCTTTGTGACTGAAATATTGTGGGATGTTGCTGATGTTGCTGAGTTTTCTTGTAAACAAACACACAGTTATCACAGTGATGATCTCAGAATTAGGACGTTAAAGTGACAAATGAGCAACGCGAGGTTATTGAATAAAAATGTTCTCATCCTAGATGTTGCTTTTTAATTTACTTTTTCATTTCACACTTGTCTACAGCTTAAAGTGCCAGGTTGTGCAGGTTGTGCCAAACTAGTGTTTTGATTTGCCATTTTTATTCTGTTTATAATCAAGAAAGAAGGACCTAGAGTATTAAAGCAGATGCATAAAAGGGGACTTGCACAATAGCCCCCAGTGAATAGAGCACTATTTCAGGATGCGTTCACAGTCGACTTGTACAGCGACTCCCACTGTATGTGAAGAAAAGGAACAAGTGTATCATTGTGAAGTTCCCAGCAAGTCCGAAGTGCTAATATGTAATGGTGATCAAGTCGGTTTACTCTGGCAGGCTGCCTGCCGCAGACTCTGACAGATTGGTGCCATCAGCGCATTATTTCATTAACACTTGTGTTTTCATGGTGAACATCTTCTCACTCGTCATTTTTCTCTCTCTCTCTCTATCTCTCCCTCCCTCTTGCCCCAATTCTTCCCTCCCTCCCTCCCTCCCTCCCTGCCACCCCTCTGACAGATGGAGAGCGAGAAGAAGAGGAGAAAATACTCCACGAGCAGCAATGACTCCGACACCACCGACAGTAAGTTGGAGGGAGATTCAGGGGAAGGGAGGGAGGGTGTGCGCGCGCGCGCGTGTGTGTGTGTGAGAGTGTGAGAAAGAGCTAGAGAAAGAGGGAGAGAGAGAGAGAGAGAGAGAGCATGAAACATGGAAGTGTCAGAAAAGTGAGTTCCTGTGCTGCTGTTGTACAGCGAGCTGCCTGATTTTAGTCAACTCCCGCAGGGTATTTCTCGTATCCACTCTCCATATAGACTTTCCACCTGTCTCACGGTCATTCCCTCCTCTGCTCTCCTCATTAAGACTTCCTCTTTCTGAACACAACTGCAGTATAAATATGAATATGCAGCTCTGGTTATTCCAGGTCCTACTATTCTGTCAAAATTTAGAGAGCTTGGGAGAAATGGGACAGAAACGGATAAAATCTCTCTGATCTCTGAGGGGAAACTGAGCTGAGGCTGGATGAACACGGTGTCTAAGTATTTTTATTGTAAAAACAAGTGAACAGGGGGCGGGGGGAGTTGTGGTTTGTGTTAGTTGACAATCAGTGTCTATAAAATCACCACAGGCTGTGACTGCACTCTTATTTCTTTTGATGAAATACTTATAGTGTTGTCCGTATTGTAGTGAAACATCAGTCTTTACACACTATCTCCACCTGGTGCGCTGAGCTGCTGTACCTGTAGCCTTGTCTGTGTTTTTACTTTCAACTCTTATGTGATCAATAAAATAATTAGACATAAAGATGTATTTTATTATTAGCAGTTTCACTCAGGAAAAGTCGCACTTCAGCCAGGTAAATCTTTAGCAAGACAACACTGTGTTACAATCTCTATCTATAATAAAGCAATCTAAGCGCTATGGGCGTAATGAGCTGCGGCCTAAGTAAATCAGGTGCTTAATACACACAGATTGTGGCTGCAAATTCACTAAAACCCACATCTTGCATTTGTGGTGGGCCATATTCTTAGTAAATCTGGCCTTATGTGTTTTGGAAGAAATGTTAAATATATGCAGCATGCACTTAATGGCCTGACTGATAAATGCATATTAGATAATGGATGCATAGACTAATAGATCAGCAGATACACTCCCTACCCAGAGTCGTGATAGAGACTCAAACAACCAATGAGACAGACAGACAGACAGACAGACAGACAGACAGACAGACAGACAGACAGACAGACAGACAGACAGACAGACAGACAGACAGACAGACAGACAGACAGACAGACAGACAGACAGACAGACAGACAGACAGACAGACAGACAGACAGACAGACAGACAGACAGACAGACAGACAGACAGACAGACAGACAGACAGACAGACAGACAGACAGACAGACAGACAGACAGACAGACAGACAGACAGACAGACAGACAGACAGACATGCAATGAAGAGATAGACCGCATGATGGTGGGAACATCTGGCCAGTCTAACACATTACTGTCGCTGGCAGCGTCTGCTGGAAAATCATCTGATAATAAACTGTCTTTGAATAGCAGTGCAGTGTTACACAAGCACACTTGGCTCTCAATGCTGATCACTCTCCACGAAATATGAAGATTTAGTCACTGAAGACAGCTAGCAATTTTGATTTAATTATAAACATCATTCTTCTTGCCTTTTGGCAGTTCAACATGACTAATTCTTGGCATTTTGCGGCGTGCATTTTTCAAAAACAAGCAAATAATATTTGTCTGGCCATACCCCTGACTCCGTAAGGCCAACATAGACAGAGAATTAGATACATCAGTGAGCTAGAAAACAAACTGTCGTGTACAAAAGTGGACCTCACTTTTGGTTTTGTGTCTCCCTAAAAACCGCTCACATGCCAACATTATCTTATTACCAAAGCAAAGTGGCTTAATCTGCCCTTTTCACCTCAGAGTGTAACATTTCTGTATTGAACAACTAGATATTTTTTTCTTTTGCTTGTGTAAACATAATAATATTTCTTTCTACTGTTGGACCCTCTTAAAAGTCAATGTCAAAAGTCATGAAACATTATAAAAAAAAATACTCCCTGCTGTCTTTTGACACATTTTGAACATTCGAATAAAATATTAAAAAGAGATAAAAAGATTTCATTTGGGATTTTCTGTCTCTCTCGATGAGAAATCAAATTTCCTATTACAGTATAATACAAAATTCAAAAACATTTCTCCAATTGAAGCTGTTCATGATGTGGAATGCCTTAACTGTTTTCTTTTTGAAACATTTTTAAACTAACTACAGGAAAATGATTTCTGGGTAATGTAGTGACTGAAACTGAAAACTCTTAACTGTTTACTGCAGTAGGGCCAACAGAGGTTGAAGTGACCTTTTGCAGGTTTAACCGTCATGTGGTCACAGGTCTGCATGTATAAAATATTTTACAGCAGGTTTAACAGGCTGTTTTTCAGACCTAGACTCTGCCACCCTGCACTGAAGGCCATACTGTCTGCTGTATAATTAGCTGTTAGCCGTTAGCTTCCCCTGGCCAGTGCTGTGTGGGCTCCAGCTGCATCTGTTGACTGGAGGTTATCAGGTTTCTAATTGAAGGATGCCCATGATAATTTTGGCTGCCGTGCACCAAGCGGGGCTTTTAATTAACACACGGCCATGATGGTAACCTCCAACTGTGCTGCGGTCCGTTTGGTTATCTGGCCGCAGTGATAGAGCGGTGCAGCTGCCTCATGTGGGGCGTGTGGATGTAACCTGCACAGACACACGCACATGCGCACACACACACACACACACACGCACGCACGCACGCACGCACGCACGCACGCACACACATACTCTAGCAGAGAGCAGATGCATGAATGTTCAGCAGATTAGCACGCAGTTCCACTGAATATTTTCATACTGGACACACGTGTGCATATAACATAGCACTCCTACACACACAGACTTGTGGACGAACACACAGACACTGAGGAACAGCTTCAGTGCTTTTGGCAGAGATTCTCTAAGTCTCTGCTGCGTTTTGATGATGGTGGTGGTGGAGAGCGCCGCTGTCTAACACATCCCTACAAAACCCTCCTATAGGTGTTCAGCTGTACAGAAACTGAGACACGTTCAAAAATGCCACTCGCCACTACACCCCGCTCACTCTTTTATTTTGACGTGTTTATTCTTGGACAGACTAGAGTATATCTGCTCCACTTTACCTTTTAACAAGTCTCTCTCTCACACAGACACACACACACACGCACACACACAGCATACACATTCTGTAAGGTGGTACACTTTGAGACCACCACTCAGTAGAAGTGAGTAGAGGATTAATTTGAAATCGTTACCCACTCGTAGCTGTCAATTCCTATTTCCTGTCGGGTTGTGGCGGTGAAGGCGTGTCTGTGTGTTTATGTCTGTGTGTGTCCAAGGGAATATATAAATCTGTGCCACTCTGAGAGATTGAGACATCAACACGATGCAAGCAAAGTGTGTGTGATTATGGGTGAAAGTGTGAGTGCATGCTTATGTGGCAAATATCTGTATACGTTAGCAGCTGTGTGTGTGTGTGTGTGTGTGTGTGTGTGTGTGTGTGTGTGTGTGTGTGTGTGTGTGTGTGTGTAGGGAGAGGGAGTCAGTAATTTTGAAGATGAGCCTGACAGCAGTTCTGCCCTCAGCACTGTTAGTTGTTCAGACATCCCAAGTAAAATTAGCACGGTGGCAGGACTTCTGTGGTGGCAAGGGAAATATGTTGAGTGGGAGGCAGCCCACACACACACACACACACAGAGTCACCGTAACAGTGTGCTATATTACACAGTATTGGCAAATTTGTGTTTTCCATTATGCCTGTGTGATGTAATTTAATTGCTAATGTGATGCAATTTTTAATGAGAGCCTTCTACATGGTGCACAGGTGAAAATGAGCTGTTGGCTATTTCTGTTGCAGTGATTTAAAAAAAAAAAATATATATATATCATAAATGAAATTACACACATTCCCTTTCTTCTCTACATATATCAGTATGGGCTCTGATCACACACACGGGCACAGGCACACGCAGACAAACACATGCACAGGGTGGCTGATTGAAGCGGTAGGTGGGATATTGGCTTCAGTGTCTGGTTAATTGCCATTAAGTTGTGTATTAATGAGGTTGTAAAAGACCATAGTGGACTAACTGCTTAACAAGATGCTATTTATACTGTCGTTACTTATTACAGCCCTTAATAGATCATCATCAGTCTGCTTCAATTAAAGGCCTGACTTGGAGAGGTAGGAGAAGTCACGGGGAAGGTTTTTGTTTGCCTGCTTTCTTTTTTTAGTGCTTCTCTGCAGTGGTTGAATCACCTCCATCAGCGTAAATTACAGAAGTCCTGAACCCCATCACATGCTCACGGAAGAACTTTTGATGACCAGCTTTTTCCCCTCTAACAAGTATAACTGATTCCCCGCCGGTACGAGCTTGCTATGGTGATTCTATTATGTCTGTATTGTAAACCTTCTCTGCAAAAAAAACAAAAACAAATTTCTCCAGTGGGACAATAAAGTTTGTTTGCAGTGTATCTGAACGCACGCTGTGTACATGAAGCCTGATCTACAGCCAGACCCCCTGTTCTTCATTTACCTCACTTTCGGATCAACATTCACACTCGTGACTGCACATTCTCGACAAATCCAACACAGATTAAGTTTGCTTTATGTTGTGCTCCAGAAGATTTGAAACACTTTGTCTTTACAGCTGTGTCATAAAAAGCTAGTTAGTCAGTGCCAGGAAAATATTGATGGTATCTCTCCTGAATAAGATGCTTGTTAATCTTAATTACACTTATTGTTATCATCTTTTTAATTTTTTTTTTTATTGTTGCAGGTCAGGTGACCTCGTGGTCCAGGTCATCCAAGAATACGGGCACCAGCAGCACATGGGTCCGCCACCAGCACAAGAAACCATCAGAGGTAAGTTAGTGTGGCAGCTTGGTTCAGTGACTCGGGCAGATACAGTGTGCTGACTGAAATACAGTCTCTGTTTGGCTGTTACACGCTGAGAGTTATGCTCCACTTCCATGCTGCCTGTGACAGATATTTGCTGCGGCTGTTGGTCAGATGCCAACATTTTTGTCTGCTTGTTCAGGTTGTTGAACTGGCGTGATCTGCGTCTTTTATGATCCTTGTTCTTGAAATACAGAAAAAGAGTGCAGGTCCGGCAGCTAATTGAAATCCTTAAAGTTAGGTGTATGGTTTCTGGACAAGCTCAGTTGCTATTTGGCTGTTCTTCTTCTTATATTACATCTTTTATCTTACAACCACACTCTGCCAAGTTTGAAAACTATGAAAGCAGCTGTATATCAACTCTTAACTGGAACAAACACTATCCAATGTAAACACAGCCATCTCCGTCACCACAGCTAAATCAACCGGGCGCATTGATGGCACAGATTGGTTCCCTAAAATACCAGGTTGGAACATCCATATGGTCATGATGAACATTCCCTAGCGCTCTCAAATGACCACCCTGGGGAAGAAACTGGCATAATCCAGTTGGAAAATGGTGCACTGTACCAGTTGTGGCAAAAATGCTTTGCCTGCCACAATCACACATTCCTCCCACTCTGTCAGTGAAGTGGGTTCAAATCTGTTTAAGGACAACTTTCTGTTTTGAAGAGTTTCACTCCAAAAATAACTATCTGCCACTTGGAACACATTACATCTACTGGTGATTTTTTTTTATTTTTTAAATAGAGCAGAGTAGGTGACAGCCTTGGATGACACTTCTCAAATTCTGAAGATGTTCAGTGAGACACTCAAAACAAAGATCTTTTACAAAATGAATTGATACCATCTAAGAGGGTTATTTGCCCTCACAGCTGCTGTGATTTCTCGCCATCCTTCGTCCAAATAAAAAAATGTCAGAAACTGTCTAAAGTGTAAGCGCACAAATTTAGTTTTTATGCAACTTTTGAAAGGAGAATGAGTAAAGCAAAAAGGCATGCATGCCCCCGAACCACCCCGAAGTACAAGTCATCAGCAGAGCATCTGTCATGCCTGTGCATTTGAAGCTTCCTCCCCCTCAGCTCCATCCAGTTAACCACAGGCTGTTGGAAGGTCCTGTCAGCAATCAGTCTCTCAGTAATTACTACTGTAGCTCTCTGCTCTGACCCGGGCCTCAGCTGAAGAGCCAGGGGCCACGTTCAATTTCATAACGCTGCCGCCTCGCCTCGCTCTGGGGCACCCTGTTTTTTCGTGAAAAATGATGTTTCGTAGCAATTTTTTTTTTTTTCTGCCTTTTCTTTAGCAGTGAGTGACAGGAGAGGCCGAACAAAGAAAAAGGGCAGGTGACATCTGACAAAGGTTTATTGCAAAGTTCATATGTTGTGAGGGCATTTGAAGATTTTGACCCATTTAATATATAAAGAACATTCTCAGTTCCTCAATTCAGTACTTGCACTTCTTGGGGGGCCTTGCTTACTTGTTAGTTTTGCACCTAGGTCCAATTAAGGAATAACATTTTTTTTTTTTCAAGTGTATACCTGAACCAGAACAGCTCGTAACATGAACTTGAGATTGCAACTTGTAGGGTTTTGCTGTTCAAGCTGACTCACATTGAGAACACATAACTGTATAATGTGTTTAAACGCGTATCATTAGTTAATTTCTTTTTAATTATTTGCTTAGTCACTGAGAAAGACGTTTTAGAGGATGCCATCATCTGGTTTTAACATTTACCAGGTAGGCGAACCTACTGAGAAATTTTGGAAACCTGTCTTACAATAAATACATCACCTGTCTTGTACATTAGGTGAGTGGAGCATTGGTACTGCAGGACAGCAGCTTCATGCAGGTATGCAGGCTTCACACAAAGTGCTTATTGTCTGACCCACATTTTGAACACATCTTGAAATAGGCAGGTTTGCATCTGCGACTGAACAGGTGTGTGGAGGTGGGAAAGTTGGCAGGATTGGAGCTACTCTCTCAACCCTCTCTCTCTCTCTTTTTTTTTTTTTTTTTTCATTCTTGACACACCTACTTCTGTGTGCATAACTGAGTGTAACATCATGAATGGCTTTTGAGAACAGACTGTCCAAAACTGTTTGCCTCATTTCTTTGTGTTCAGTTTGTTGCATCAAGACTACAAAGACATGCAAAAGACACAGTATTCCTGGAAAGAGATTTGAGAGGCGGTGGGATGAAGCCAAAAAAAGAGGGTATAATGGCCTTTGGATGTCGCCATCCAGAACGGGTAGAAACACCTTTGCCTTTAGATGTGGTGGGTGATTCATCATATGTTCACTGGAAGGATACTAAAACCTTTAGTCACCGGAGCCGAGCCATCACTTTGACTGTGCGTGTAGTGGAGGCTCTTTACTCTATTTGTAGGTTAATTGAGTAAAAGCTCATGTTTCTTCAGAGCAGCTCATCTTCTGTCAGTGTGTGGAAGAAGTGACGACGAGACCGTCCGTCAGACGGAGTACAAGAGTTAAACCCTTCAAAAACCAACTGCACGCCAGCACTTCAGGTGTTGGTAACTGCTGTCAGTGCGAGAGCTATCCTGAGGCAACAGCGATAACTTGTATGTTTTACAGGACAAAGGTCATGACCCTGATTAAATGTCACCACCTCTTTTGCTCACAATGCTTAGCTGGAGGAGACATGTCTTGGTAGCCTTGGATTTTTTTGAAAGTGGACTGGTGCTTTTTGCTTGACCTGACTAATCCAAAGGAAGAAGGGGCTTTCTTTGTATCTAAGCAGCAGATAAATTAGGCTAAGAGCGATCAGAGAAACAACTACCGCTATCAAATGTCACATTTACATGTGGCATTTTGTGTTGAACTAGTTCATCAGCAAGAATAGAAGTCCACAGGTTTCATTGGTTGAAAACGCCTGTTAGCAAATGATCCTTATCAGTGCTCTGTCAAATGCACATCTGGTTTGTAACTTTGCTGATGGACGGAGTTTCAGTATTTACAACCACACTTCACCATGAATACATAACATAGTTATGCTGTGCAATTTAATGAAACCAGACTGGTTTCATTAAATTGCATGGCATATTTTGTAGTGGTATGGACTTGTATATTTGCTGGTTGTTGATGGTGGCAGACAGACATCCCTGAAATTAAGTGCTTTTTTTTTTTTTTTTTTTTTTTTTTTTTTAAATGAAAAAAAGTCCAAGCAAGGCTGTGAAGATTCCTCATCCCTGCTGGGAAGGAAATTCAGCAGTGGCTCGCAATGCGGACAAGTTTATGGAACGATGTTCACCCTCGGTTAAGGGATGTGTGGCGAATGGTAAACACTATGCACTTGTAATGACAACGTAGCTCTTTTCTAAAAATGAGCCGTCTCTATTTGCGCCTTTGCGAGTCTTTCACTCTAGCTTTGACTTTTCTTAGAAGTGGTTTAGAGGGCTTTACTTGGCGGAAGGAGGGCACAGTCAAACGCTTCCGTTTTTTTGTATAGCCGTTTTTTTTTTTTTTTAATCTCATTTTAGATGAGGACCGAGATTTAAGATTTTGAAAATTTTGTGGACAAACAGGAAGCCGTTATGACACGCAGTATACAAGCAGATGGCGCATATCTGGTCTTGTGGTTAATGGTTAGGGACAGCAGTTGAGAACAAGAAAAAGACAGAGGCAACAAACAAAGCAGAAAAAAAGTTTACTTTAAAAGAAAATGCGCTGTAATGTAAGTGTGCTGAGTCACCAGTGAGAGCTCCTGGCCTCGTCTCCTCTGACAAAAGCAAAGCTCTCCTTCTTCAGAGAAATCCCCCCTGCTCTCCCCCAGGGGATTGTGTGACACTTGTCAAAACACTGTAACATGGGCAGAGGACACACACACACACACACACACACACACAAACACTCACACACATTTTTTAGAGGGTGCTTGTAACACTATATTGAGACAGAAACATGAATACAGACGCACTTTTTAATCTGGGCTTTTTTTCCAGGCTCGTGGTATTGAAATTTCGCACCACACACTTGGAGAGGGAATGTCTCTATCCATGTTCCTAGTTTCATTTGAATCTTTTTTTTTTCCTGTATGTTTTTCTTTTTCCTCCTTAAAAATCCCGCTTCAGTCTTCAGGTAAATCTATATGGAGATGACAGTAGTTAAAGCAAGTGTTTACCTGGGCTGTTTTTTTGCAGCAAAACAGAATTGAATCAGGTATTTGAAGCATAGATAATTCCATCTTGTCACTGTGCCCGGTCAGACAGAGTGTAAGAATGTGAGCATAACTCTGCCAAACTTTTCTTTAAGTTGCCCCGGATAATTCATGTTAATGATCGTCACTTGTGGTTGGGCTGTCTGGAGCGTTAGACATTATGAGTTTGGCGTATGCATTTTTGTCTGCACAACCTCAGTTAATAACAGGCCTCCACAGATGCGATTTGTGGAAATGAGTCTTGATGCCAAAATCCAGGTGTAATGATCTGCTGTAACGTTGTGAGATATATCACACGCTCAGCACTAATTTCTAACATTATTCAGTTCACCATTTACAGCTTGGCAATTTAGCAAAAAGCTGCGACTTCCAATTAGTGCAACAGTTACAAGTGAGTATGTGAAAGAACTCGTATTTATAACGGGGACGTGGAGCAGGTTGGTGTTATAAGTGCTTAGTAAAGACACTTTGGAGAAAAGGCACTAAATCAAAAAAAAAAAAAAACAGTGTTCATTCATTTGCTTTCATTTTTAGAGGCTTTCTTCCTAAACCTTTGGTATCATGTCGTATCTTCTTCTCTGTGACCTTTCAGTTATTGTGCTTGTTGCACAGTGTTGTGCTCTTGCTGTGTTTGCTGAAATGACTGTATAGTTGCATCCAGGTTGATATCAAATGATGTACTAGTTATTAGTTTAAGCCATGTTGCTTTCCCTGGACATTTCAGTGCTGTGGTTGAAGGACGACGGTGTGATGAAGCTCAGATCATATTTAAGTAATAGTTTTACAGCTTTCAA